GAGTTCTCAATGTCACCTGCTTTTTGTGTGCCATTTCTGTCAACTAGGCCGAACCCTAGCTTACCACTTTATTGGTCTTACGTTTCATTCCTTTGAAATACTGCATCTGTGGTGTATTTGAAACCCATCATGAAAGTCAACTTCATCCTGCCCAGTGGGGCTCCATTCCAGCTAAATGTCTTAACTAAGCTTACATTGAAGATCAGACAATAGTTTCACTCCTTTTGTCCATCATGCCACTATCACTTAAAAAATAGTCCAACATTTTGGGAGATAACACTTATTTGCTTTCGTTGCAAGAGTGAGGTCAGAACATGAGTCTCAATGTCTGAGCTGGAGTTAGTGCATGTTTAGCTTAGCTCAGCATAAAGACTGAAGAGGGGGAATAAAACAGACACATTTAAAGCTTATTAATTTACATGATGTATCTCATTTGTGTATATAAACAAAAATGTGCTTGCCATCTGCAACTTACAATCCTGCACTATAGCTGAAGATGCTGCACATAAGTGCTGCACTGATTGTTTAACCCATGAGAGAACAAAAGAAACAAACAAGATAATAAGCTGCAGAGTGGACAAACTTTTCCCCCCCCTGCCTTTAGTCTCTGCTAAGCTAGGCTTCCCAAGTCCTGATGGCCGTTGTGCTCTTAATACACACATGAAGTGCGAGATTGATCTTCTGATCTCAGTCTTGGAAAGAAAGCATACAAGCACATGTCCCAGAGTGTTGAACTGTTCCTTAAACATAATTTTTCTGCCTCCCTTCCCTTTATCTCCCAATTTGTTACAGTTAATTTCCCTGCACTTTCGTTCTCGTCACTGCTACTCCCATTGTTGGCCCAGGGAGCGTGTGTGCACCCTTGTGCTTCCTCCTCGATACACATGAGTACTGGCTTCTTCTTTTCAGCTGCTAGGGAGAGGCTTCAGTTGGACAGCTGCCCAGGGGACACGTGGCCCTGCCGGAGGCATTGCCAATGGTGATTAAACCCAGGACTCAAGTGGGGGCTGTTGTTTTGCTACTTGTCACCTGTACTTTGTTCTAGCAGAAGCACAAAAAACAAGCACTAATCTCCTAATCAACAAAATCTAAGCTTGTCAGCAAAATCAGGCAGGCAAGACGCTCTTATTCTGAAATGCTCCATGTGGGAAGTGCACCGTGCAAAAGACTAAACGAAAGCAGTTCACAAAGAGCTGTGAAGAATGTAGTAGAAGCACATATTAAAAACAAGTCATTAACATGTGGCAGGCTACACACTCTGCTGCTAAAAAACACTTCTGAGAGGCTTCCAGTGGAAGTTGATGCCGGGCTGAGGACGCAACTAAACCGAGGCACACACGCAGCCTATGTAATACATAGTAGCCTACATCCATTCCATGATGCATGACGATGAAGGGATTTTTGTTAAAATTTGTTAATAGGTTTGTTTTTTGTTTGAAATACAAATGTTGCTTTATGGTTTATGTTTTTTAAACATCACGCTATCTTTGCTTATGGTTTTAGCATTAGCCTCCAGTAGTTGTCCTAATGGATCAAGGAAGTGGGTTCGTCTGGCTGTTCACTCATTCTCTGACTCTGATGGGAAGGAGCTTGAGATGTTGTCATTCAGTCTTTGTGTTGTGTTGATAATCAGAAAATATGCTAATGACTCCTCAGCACTAAACGCCATTGTCGGGAGCGATTGACCCCAGTATCTCCCCTCTTCTCTGCCCAAGTCTCTGGCAGGTGCCCCATAAATGAACGCTGTAATTTAGGGAGGTGAACGAATGTAAATATACTACACCCTATGTTCTGGAGACTGCATGTGTGTTATTTGCTGATTTACGACAGGGTGCTGTGTTGTGACAAGGTTTACACACTCACACAAACACATTTGATAAGAAAAGTGAATTTATGTGTTCATGTCACCATATTTTGCAACTGGAAGTAACTAAGTGAAATGAAACGTTGGGTGCATGTGGACAAATGTAGGTACTTTGAAGATGTGTTTTAGGTCTGTGGGAGTGTTTGCATCTCACCGTTGTTATGTCTGCATATACATAATCAAAACAGTTAGTTGAGCCAAGCCTTATGCTCAGGTATATTTGACATCCACTATACTTTTTTTATTTTATTTTTAATGTTATCAGATCTAGTTTCAATATGTTAAGAGGTCCAACTTTTAAATAGTGTTGAATTTATTTAATATACCCCAACATGTAATATTCACTAATATAACAGAGGCCCTGTGATCTGTGTCTTGTTCAGAAGCATGTTTTATCTGTGACAGTGAGGGGTTATTAAAATGTGCCTTTTTTCCCCACCTGCATATCTGCCTATACTTTTGTATAAAACGTTTCTGTCTTTCGAGATGCTTTTCTTAAGGATTTAGAACAAAAGATTTTTTTCTAACTCATAAAATGCCGGGTTGCTCACTGTCACAAAGTCACAGTTTGACTCTGTAAAACCTCAAGAGACAGAGAGAAGGAGATGATGCTCAAATTCTGCTTAAACTTAAGATAACTTAAAACGAGGGTTGCATCATTAACTCCATCATGCTGTGGGCATCTTTCTCTGTCAACAACTGCAGCTTTGCCAATACTTGAAATCTTCTAACTCGTTGTGATAAAACAGACAAGAGCTTTGTCATCCTCCCTTTGCAATTGCCTTGTCACACTCTTTCAAGTCAACATAATTAGCTGTTGCTTTAATTTTTCTCTCTCTCTTTGATGCCAGGGGTGGAGGCATGTCTGCAGGCAGGCAAGTGGATGCCCGAAATTGAGCACGAAGCGGAGAAGGCCCCCAGCGCAGTCGCATCAACAGATGTAGCTTGGTAAATGAGAGGCACACAAACAACACATGAAGCAGATGAGTATAGATTGTCTAGACATTCTGTCCTTGGGAGAATGTGTTTATCCAGGCAGGCACTGTAGAGAGCCATTAAAAGTACTCCCTTGGACTTTTGGACTGTTTTGTGTTTTGAAACTAAAAATCCCAGTGTAATTGGGCTTTTTTGATACTAATTAAGAGAAACAAAATACTTTAAACTACAAATTGAATTGAATTCATAATAGAAAGAACATGCCATACATACAGAATATCTTTCATTGTTCAGCTGCATTTTTAGATAGATCGACACAAATGCATACAGAGAAGTACCAGTCAGGGAACGAAGTGTTTTTTGACTAAATCTAGGACCCGTTTGGTGTACATTAGAGGAAACACATGACATGAATGCAGCAAAAAATACTGCATAATCCAGGAGGAGGCAGACTTGCTGCAGTCTATAAGAGAACTATGATTTGAGGGAGGATTTATTTTCCAGAAAGACAACAACCAAAATCTACAAAGGAGTGGCTTCAAAACAACAACATTAATGTCCTGCTGAGGCCAAGTCAGAGTCATGATCTCAGTCCAAATGACAATTTGTGGCAGGACTTGAAAAGTGCTGCTCACTCACCAGTTCCCATGAAACCTGACAGAGCTTGTGCCGTTTTAAGAAGAAGAATGTGGACACTGCATTTTCTAGATGGCAAAGCTGATACAGACCTATTTACGCACACGGCTATACTTGCTGTTAAAAATACGACATCTTTTATATAATATGACATCTTTTTCTTTTGATTAATGTCAAAAACCACATCCATTGTGATTCAGTGTAGTAAAGCAACGGCACTGAGAAAAGTCCAAGGGTGGTGAATACTTGCTGTGAGCAATTGCCTTTTAATTCCCTGAGTATTATTAGCATTTTGAAGGTCTTAAGAAACAGACTAATACATAGTTTGTTGTAGTGGTAACCCTGCACAGGCAGACATGATAATAAACACATGTTCTTTAGTAGATTTAAGATTTCCCCATTGTCAGTTTCTTCCGTTTTCTTCCTCTATGTGCAGAATACGATGTCCTTTCTAGAAAAAAACACCTGTATCATCAATCATAATCCTACATTAAGGACACACACATTCAAAGCAAAAGCTAACCAAAGTGTAGTCAAAGAACATTCTCACTGGAAACTCTTGAGAGAGCCAGTTTACACCCATAACCGTTGAGTTCATTGATGCAGTGAATAGAACAGTCTCCAGTGGCCTAATTCACTGCTGTTTTTAAACAGCAACACTAAATGCTTCAGAGTTTGTCTGGAGAGCACTGCTGATAAAAACGTCTCCTGGCTCTGCCGCAAAAGAAATAAATACAAAGCATCGACACAGACACTTGGTAATATGAGCCTAGATTTATTGGCAAAGAAATTATTCAGTGTTTAACTTGATCATAAACAAAAGGAGAGCCTTTAATCCTTCTTCCACTGCTCTCACAAGGAGTGAGGCTTTATCCTGGCTCTGGCAGTGAGTGACTAACATATTTTAATGGGAGAAGATAATAGATAATAACAGGTCTTTTCTCCTGGTCGGCTTTTGATGCACAAGGAAATATTAGAAGTTCCCTCTAATGCTTGGATTTGTTTTTTTGTAATTATTCATCTTTTGTAGCTCCCACCACTCTTCGATGGCTGTTTCTTCTTCCTCCTTGGCTCCTTTAAGGCGCCTTCCAAAGACGAACTTACCAAGCTGCTCCGGGAGGGGGAGGCCAACTCCTGGCCCGGCAGCCCAAGCCTGACAGCGATGTGACACAAACCCTGAGTGCTGCTTCCTACCACGCACTGCCAGGCTCCGACCAGGCCCTCTGCACCCAGTACATCATCTTGACCCCCAGGGGCCTCACAAACCGACAGTAGTGAGGCGAGGTAAGGTGGTCAGCTCCCTCCACCTGGCTCATCAACTGCATCACAGCCTTCCGCCCCTCCCCGTGCCGGACCCTCAAATGTTGGTCTGAATAATTTTTCTACGTTACATTAATAACTGAATAATAACTGAGTTATTACTAATGTGTTTTTTTGTTTTTTTAATATTGATCAAGTTGACACAAATTACTAAAACAATAATGTGACTTAAAATCTAAAATTAAAGTGGTAATCTGCACATTTGTTGTTTCTTTTTGGTGGGTGCTAAGATTGTGATAATGTC